CCCCAAAACCCCAAAACCCCAAAACCCCGTAACGGCGATATTTAATTGAACACTAATTTGGGATTTAATAGATAAAAGAAAGAATTCTGATATAATTATTTAAATGGAAAGTTTTAATCAACCCTCATCTTGAAGCTCGAATAAAGCCATAGTTCTGGACTTTGATAGCAAGAGCATTCAAGAGTTATTTTACAATCAGTTTGCTGATGGATCAACTGAAGCGGCCAACAAAGAGTTCTGAGAAGGATTTATAAAAGAAGTGGAAAATAATGATGTAGCTGTGTACATCTATAAAAACACCTCCCCTTCACAGAAAGAGTCAGTTGAAGAAGTTCTTGATGCTATTTTTGATGAAAAAGCATCTTACAGGCTTATTTCTTCTAAGGCTCTCTTATTTATGATCTTAGGAATGATTTTTAACAGAAAGTGTAGTGTGATCGTCTATTCGTCAGAAAGACTGTTTATCCCAGTAGAGATATTCCAGGAGCTCGGGATCACTAATAAGTCTGAGACCTCTGTAATTTTCAGAGACTCAAAAATGTTGAAGAGTTTTGCTCTGAAAGAGTTTGAACCAGATCTTAGAACTTCTGAGCAAATTCTTTCTAAAAAATGCCCCCCTAGCTCCGAAACAACTGATTCTGGTGGGAAACTCTCTTTTCAAAAGAAAGAGTTGATAATGAGTGAAAAGATGACATCGCCACCAGCTCTTCTGTTGTACCCTTTAATGTCTTGTTCTACATCCACAAAGAATAAAATTAGTAGCATTGAAGATCTCACTCTCTCTTCAATGTCAGATGGTATTGCTGGCACATTGGAACAAAATAATGAAAAATATGAAATAATTTTTAATGATCTTCTTCCTAAACTTTTGAACAAAAAGAAAGAGAAAAGTAAGGAATTTTCGAAGTTAATTGTCTACCTGAATAACACAGTGGAGCAACACCTTCTTAAACATACTCACATGAGCACACAAGAAAGACAAGACTTCTTTGTATTCACCTTCTTGAAATTATGAAAGAAGCAGTGGCTCAGAGGTGAACTTCCAGATCTGCTGATGAGTCTTCCTCCAGGCTCCTTATAAACTATGAGAAGCTGACAAACATGGGACAAGCTGAACTAAGTATTGACTCCTCGGAGATACCCAACCTAGCCTTAGCAACTTCACCAAAGAAATCAAGTATGTACAGAAAGAATGCTACCATCCTATCAGCAATAGTAACAACGATGATAAAAATGATGGTTGGTGATCAGGAAGTAAGGAGCATCAACAATCCTATTTCCATGAAAAAGTTGAAGCTCCAAATCATACAGTGGATAAATACGTATACCAAGGCAAATAAGGAGGATAAAAATATTCGCTTTCCTTGATACTATAAGAGCATACCTAATATAATAGTCCAGGTACTCAAACACAAAGAAGTTATAACACAATCCGAAGAAGGTGTCCTAATTGATTGGGATGGACTGGACCTACTGTCTGAAGAGTTGGAAAAGGTTTCAGATCAATCTTACTTCATTCCTTACTTCCAATCGTTTAAGTAAAGATAATTTATAAGCCACCCAGTACTCAAAACATCTAATAACCTTCTCCTGGCTAATCCTAAGCTTATTCGAACCAAGCTTGTCTTAAGAACTACTCTGAGAATTCACCTGTTAAACAAGTTACTAACATGTCAGTATAGCATAACAATGGTTCAACAGTATAATACTATTTTGGGGTTTTGGGGTTTTGGGGTTTTGGGG